CATCGGGAAAAATTCCTTCCCCAAAAGGACTGTCAAGCACCGGAACGGGCTGCCCAGGGCAGGGGTTGAGTCCCCACCCCTGGGGGTATTTAAAAGCCGGGCAGATGAGGTGCTTAGGGCCAGGGTTTAGTGGTGGGATGGCAGGGTTAGGGGAACGGTTGGGCTGGGTGAGCTTAAAGGGCTTTTCCAACCCAAACGATTCTGTGATTCTATGATTCTATGGCCCAGCGCTGTGGGTGCAGCTCAGGGTGGTGCCCAAGGCGAAACCACAGGCAAAAGACTGGGCCCTTTCTGCACACCACCAGCCCATGGGGCACCCCGGGTATGCAGGGGGCTGTGTTCCCGTGGGGTGCTGGTGGATATCCCCATTTCTGTGCGAGCCTGGGCATTGCCATCCAGAGGCACCCCAACCCATCCTGACCAGAGGGCTGAGTCCCTGCACTCAAAGGGTTAACACCACTGAGATCCCGCTGATGAGGTTTGTTAAACTCCTCATTACATCCTACAGTGCTGCTAATTACATCTTCATAAACCAAAGTCAATTAGCCAGGTCTCTCCCTGCCCGTGCCTCTTACCTTCCCTCTCCATCCTCAGCCCGACGCCTGGGAGCACCTGCCTGGGTCCTGCCTCCCCTGGGGCGTGGTGGAGCCCGTCCGCCCTGCGTGCCCCCTGCCCCGGAGCTGGTTTGGAGCCTTTCCAGCATCTAACTGGTGCTTATTGACTAAAAGTGGAAATGCTGCAGCTCGTCCTGCCCGACAGTCTCTGCAATTGCAACTGCTCCGGCAGGAGGAGAGGAGGGGTGCGTGGGGCAATATCCTTCTTCAAATATGGAAAAACATTTACTGCAAAAAGGAAAGCAATAAATTCTTCCCAAGGGATTTGCTTTGTAGGGAGAGAGATTTAGGTTATCTGCCTGGAATTGAAAGGTTTTTAAAGGGAGGTTGGGCACACAGGGGAGGTTTAGGAAGAGCTGCCCCTGCCCTGAGGTTGCAAGGGGCAATTGGACGGCTTCTTGAGACCCAGCGCCCACATTTTCTGCTGATGTTATTAATAGACCAAGGGTTCAGACCAAGGGGAGGCTCATGCGGCCACACCATCGCTGCCCAGCCTGTTGCCCCTGGGTGCTCGCCCTCGCCTGCCCGTGGGGCTGGGGATGAACCTGCTGGTGCAGACTGGATGCATTTTGTGAGCCAGCCATGATGGTGATGGGACACTTGGCTCCCAGTTGCTTCCCTGGCGCAATTCCAACTCCACGACACATAGCCAACATCTGGAATACCGTTTAAGCACAGCTGCCATCATGCAAATTTAGAGATTAGTAGGGATTAAAGTGGTCTGGAATGTCTCACAATTTGTCATTAATTTCATCGTTAATGCCCTGGGCTCTGTAACAGCCAACTGCCCTGCATCCCTGAGGTGGCTTCCACATCGCTGTGCCTGGAGATCAGTTGCTGTGCTCTGCATGGGTATTGCTTTGCACAGTCAACCCTAAATTGGCAAGTTCACCTTGCCAGCATGGAGACCTCGGTGGTGACTTTTGAACAGCTTCACCATTGTCACAGCAACACAAAGATGATGCGGCTGGGGGCTGCCTGCTGGGGCGTGGGGCTGCTGGGCATTGTGGATGGGCACCTTCACTCAGAAAAGGCAAAGGACCTGGTGTGATGTGATGCTTCCAGTGAAGACCTCTTCCAGCTCTCCTCCCAGGGGTGGAAACAGCTTCCCTGTGATTTTGGAGTTTCAAGGCCACTTCCCTGTTACATACAAAAAAAATAACATTTCAGAAACTCGCCCTGGAATAAGTCCTACCTCCTTGCTGTGATAACTCGAGGAAGGCTTTCATCTTAATGTCCTATTTCCCCCCCCCCCAGTTTTAGTAATTGCATAATTGGAAGAAATCTCCTGGCTCTGATATTGCAGAGCAATTATCTGTTCGCCACTAGCTAGCCAAGCTGGGCTGAGACGTTACTGCATGTGCTGCTCCTCGGGAAGTTTTCTCATGCTCCTTGTTTCATTTTCAAATGGTTCAAGATCACAGAGACAAAAGGGGAGCTTCGTGGCCTTATGCTGGCCGACAGCGAGGAAGAGTCCCACACTTACAGCTTTATCCAGCAGCTCTCCTCTCTTGCCCCTCTCCACAGCTGCTGTGCTCTGCTGGTGGCATTTTGCTGTGCTTATGCCAGAGTAAAATACAGTGTCACCACAGTCAATGGGCCAAGGAACAGCCACTTCTTCTGTTTGTGCTTGCAGAGAGAAGGTAGCTTGGGGTTAAAAGTGGAACTGCTCTAACGGAAGTTGGTTCACAGAGTTACATCTTGATTTCACATCTCTTGCAATGCCAAGAAAACAAATATTCTCGGCAGAGAGGGCTGCCGTTCGTCGCCTTGATGGCCTCAAGTGGAGGAGAACATACATTTTATGCCAGGCTGATTGCAGAAGGAGTCTCTGACCTGCTTGGATTTCTGCAAGCGTCTGTAGGGTCCTGCAGCTCCAGGGACTTGCCAACCCTTGCCATGGTGCCGTTATCTCCACTGCTCCCAGCATCCAGGGTAGTCTGCTGGGGACAGCTTGCTCCAAACCCGCCATGCCCCAAACCACCATTCCATCTCAGAAGGTCTTCCTCATTGCCCCATCCAGAGCAGGCAGCTTCGGGGTGGGATTTTGGGGGTGGGTCTTGTTTGATGTGCCCACTGGGCGTGTGGGATGGTGCTGCAGCAGGTGTCAACCAGAGGACACAGGAGGACAACTCCCACCACATGTTCCTTGCCATGTCTAGTGGCCCGTGGCCCAGCAAGAGCCAGGGCTTGGTATTCTTATGGGGACTTACTGCAATAGGCACGGGGCATGGCAGCAAGGTTTTGTAGCATGGGTAAAACCATTAGGTGAGAAATACGACCATTTACCTCATTGAAAAAATCTTTAACTCTGAAGGGTGAGCTCTTCCCTGGTTCATTAAAATGGTCTGAAAGCTTAAAAAAGTTATTTCAAGTCGTTGGAGAACATAAATGCTAAGGCCATTTTCATCCTAGATGGGTAGCAGGGGGAAAAAATAGGATCTTAGCTGTGGCATTTGCACCTGAACAAGACCCAATGCCCCAAATTGCATGAGAACCACATCCAGGCCCTAGCTTCACGTTTCCATTTAAATGCACGCTAGAAGAAATTGGGCCTTATCTAAACGACAGTAACTTGTGTGCTGGTGACCCAGTGTGGTGAGACTCCTTCGGCCAAGCTGCATCTACAAATGGGCTTAAAATGGTGCAGGAATTAAGGGGTTTCCTCCAGGCAGGTGGCCCAGGGTATGAAATTTCACATCACATTATTTTTTTAAGCCATTTGAATTTTCCATCCTTGCTATGGAAGGATGCAAATGCCACGTCTGTCCTTACCGCCATTTGAATTTTCCATCCTTTTCATGTCCTTCTCATCCATGCTTCCTAGGCAGAGCTGGAAACGGGGCTCTTGTGGGCATTTGCCGGCAGCCACCAGGCAGCTTGGTGACCCCCATGTCTGCGAGGACGTTTTCTGTCTGCTCAAGGGTTGGCAGAAGGGAGGAGAGAACAGGGCTGGGGCATGGGATGGCTTTGCGAGCAAATGCATGGGGCAGCAGGTTCTTGCTTGAGAAGGGGAGGTGCCTTCTGCTGAGCGCAAAGTTGGCATTTTCCAAGGAAAATGAAAGGAAATGTCTGTCTGCTGTTGCTCAGTGACAGCTTTCATCACTGGGGGTGGTCGCAGATATTTTTATAGCATTGTAGCATTGGCCCACAGCAAGGGGGGAGAAAGAGAAAGCAAGTGAGGACATGGTGGGAGAGGAACGAGGGATGGGAAAGCTGAGGAGGACAAGGACAAGGCAGGGACCTCGCTGGCTGGGACATTTCTGGGGCGTGCCCCAGAATAAGGAAAGACTGGTTCAGTTCTACTTTTCATATGTTTTATTATAAAGAAAGGTAAGATAAGCATTGTGAAACGAATGTGCCAGGCGCTGTGAAAGCAGCACCATCAAACAAAATAAAAAATAAAAAAAAAACCCAAAAATGCACCTTATGAGAAACTGTAATTATGCTCTCTAATTTTTCATAAATAGACAAAAATCATTGTCAGCAATTTTTAAATAGATGGACATATGGCAGAAAAAATATAATAATGCCATACAACATGGATATAAATTGTCCATTTCTTGCTGTACAAATAATAGAAACAAGTTTGGCAGGCTTTTTTTGTTGTTTTTTTTATACACATCTCCCTTCTATGTATAACTAAAAAATGTGCTACAATTAATATAAAATGCTTTTACTATAAAGTAAACTACTAATTTTTTCACAAAAAAATCTTAAAGATGTCTTTAGCACAGCTCTAAAACACTTAGTAAACTACTTACAACTATGCAACAAATTATATTTTCATGATCTTTTTCACATTTTTCCTCTCGTATTTTGCTTTCTGCTCTCTCCCCCCACCTAGCAATAGTTTTTATTTATTTTTTGTATTTGTTTCGCCAGACATCCAAGGCCTTTGCATGTACAATATTCACACAAACTTCACATTTTCTTGCACAAAGTTTAGTGCTGTTAGCAAGTCAAAAGAGTGCATCCTCCTACTGAGCTGGCCTAATGCTGTAGGACACCAGACCTGGGCCTATGCTGCGTCTAAAAGCAGTTTACTAGGAAAATAGTCTGTAGCTAAGCTGATGGCAAGCAGAAAAATGGTGTCCTCTGTTTATTTTTTTGTCGTTTTTGTATTTATTTTATTTTTTTAATTTTTTTTTCTTTTTTTTTGTTCTTCATGATTTATGAGGTTTTGGGCTTCCATGGAAAGTAGACTTTAGAGTTCAAAAATAATAAAAGGAAACTGCTCTTAGAGCCTGGAAACAAAGCCAGCGACGAGGTGCAGTGGTAGCTCTCTCGTCTGTACGACTTGCTCGGTGCCTCTCCGGGTAGTCTGTAAGATAGACCCTCTCAAGTGTCCTTCGTCTGAGCCTCCTTGGAAAGAGATGTTGAGGTTTAGGTGAGGTAGAGTGCCTTGTCCCTTGGCAGCATGCTGTAAGAGAAACGAGAGGCAGAAGG